TTCGTATCTTTTCGTAATTGTTTAGATATTTTAACTAGTTTCTGATCATCATTATTTTTGCAATAAACAGCCCAGTTGATGAGTGAATTTTGCATCCTGTTTATGTTACATTCAATTTATAAACGTGGGGCTTTAAAGACATGTTTACATAAAACCTTATGATATTTATTCTGAACAACATAAAATGGTTTGAGTGAACCATTAGAAGTTTTTTTACCGAAATGAAATTAACTGGATTTAATTATCAATGCTGACACCATTTAGTCAACCCGTTTTCAGATTGCTAAAAATTACATTTTTAATCCTGTCCAAGTCTTTCATTTTTTTATTTACCACATCTAGGATTTAGTTTGATATCCATCCTTTAAATAGAAAAAAAAACCACCCCAAACTCATCCGGCAAGAGAAATCACGCAAACAAATATTTGTGATTTCTCGGTCTCTTAACGTTACCTCAGTCCCCTGCGACATGCAGGGCACAAGTAACATGTTAGCGACCGCCATGTTCATGCGAGATGTATTAAAGATCGTTCATTGATGCTCTTGCCAGATACGGCAGAACCAGAATTAAATTAATCGTCTTCAATTTTCTTGACATAGAGACATTCATTCAGAGATTGAATGTCAGGCGTTCTTGTTTAAACTGACTTCTTGTCACTCTATAAGACTGCCCTCCAAATGTAGCAACAGATCTACTGAGCACCACGTTGTCTCGCCGTGTCTACGTAGGCAGTTGGATCTGGTGCGGCTTGAGAACCACTTTGAGACTTCTACAAATATTATCAGTTAAAAGTACAAATGCTGTAACAGCTCGAGACTGTGGTAATTCATTTAAACTAGAACGTTAATTTGAGGACTTTGATTGATACCTGTTGAGGAATAATCGTACACTAAGGTGTGCCCTGACAGACTGATTAGATATAATTCTGAATTTGTTCACCTATTAGCTCATTTAGTGAGCTAAGCAAACGAGGGTTTGTAGAACTACACCCCGGGGTCAAGGTGATCCTTTGGTTATGGAAAGTAATCGGATTCGGTTCTGAGTCGTGCTCCGACAGCCATATTTTATTTACATGGCGTTTATGGATCACCCATAGTTTCACATTGAAATTCACATTTAAAGATTTCGTCAAGGTATTTCCAACAGTTTTAACTGGTAATATTGATTTGATGGCCTGTTCTATTGCAAATCAAAGAGAAGTTCATGAGTTTATCAAGCGTAAATGCGCACTTGGGCAGATCTTATCAGGACCCAACGAAGTACGTTGAATTCGACCACAATGAAATATTTTATGAGGGTCGCAAAAAGTGCATTTAAATCGCAGTCCATAAACAAGAAATGCCAGAGGATAATCTCTCTAAACGTAAAGAGTGCTTAACTGTCAGCTATTGCCAGAAACGACTACAAAAAATAAAGCGAAATAACTATGTAGGTAGGTTGAGTACTTTGAGGATGTTAACTTATTAGAATCCAGATCAACAGTTATATAGCTTAGGAATTTGCTGCAAATTCGTCTATGCTATCCAGTCAAGTCTTAAGGCATAGCTTTCTAGCATAATCTTGTACCAGGGCTTTCAAAATTAGAATGCTCCAAATTACGTCATGGTTTTTTTGGACTAGTAAGCAGCAGAATATTTGCAAATGTCGAAAATCACGTAATAAAATGATTTAACTATGCTGAAACCACACTCAATGTTTGTTCCTGACAAGCTATGGCAAATTAAATGCCCCCGCGCAACAAAAAAATGTATCAATGTTCTAGTTGAAATGTCATCAAGCCCTTGGCTCCGAGGAAACTGATGGCAACAACAAATAATTTAATTGGAAATCCATTCTTCGGTAAGTTTTTAAGTTATCCGGGATATTATAATCTGTAAGTTAATTTGACGGAGTTTAAACAGGTTATGCGGGAAATCGAAAGTAATGAAGTTTTACTTGTGAGGTGCAGCTAAGTCACCAAAAGACAACGAACATAGATTACGGAGAGTTGGCTTTTCGGAAAATTTCGCATTATTTGTATAAATTAGACTTCATCGTTCAAAAATTATCACATTTAGAGGCACTTAGTAATATTAATGGGACACTTGGGTACTTATACGAGTTTGCATTACTACCGGTGGACGTGTGGTTAAAGCCAGAGAAATTTTAGAACTGCAAAGCAAATGGAGGGCTTTCCCAAACATGGAAACACTCAAACATTTAATGCAAATAGACATCTATGGTGCCTAAGAATAAACATTATAAAAACATTTTTTTCACAGCCCAGTATGGTGAACCTACGATATTTTCGTTAAAAGCATCAAGTGACTACTTTCAGCTTTATTGACTGAATTAATTAAAACAAATCCACTTCTGCTTTTTAAGGAAGCATAAACTTCTTGTGTTTCGGGTATAATTTTTTTTCAGGTTAAATGGCATCGAAATGAGATGACGTAAGCTGCCTCAGAGGAGGGACACACCTGTTCAGGAGCATTTATAATGCGCAAAAATGAGTGCTCCGATGGCCTAGGATCTGACATTCACATCTGATGACAGATCGAACTCAAATTTTACTAAGAGGTGACGTCTGAAGAATGTGAGGACCAATATTAATGACGACATAGTAACTGTAAAACCAAATAATACCAAACATTGCACAATATAAAGATGGGTAAAGTTCCTGTTTGTGTTTTCTTTTTCATCAAATATAACCACAGGCAGGCAGTCATCTAGATCCGCAATTCAATGGCGATTAAGGTAACCAATCAAGTCGTGAAAATAATCGACAGGACCAATAGATTTCCTGAGGTTTCTATGTTGATAAACCTGATAGCCCTACCTGAAATTTTGCTTGCTACATAATGATAAACTGAAGTGGAAAAATACTTTTAGTCGCAGTCAGGAGGCTAATAAAAGCATATCAACGCCCCAAATTCTAAATTAAAAAAAATTTCTGCGTTGCTCCATAGAAACTAAATGTCCGATTGGCCGTAACTTTGTGTAATGAAAAGGACTGCGAAACCGCTTTACTGTCATACTATTGATGCAAACAATGTGCATTTCCCCAATTTACCAATTAGCTAATCTGGCATTTTTAGGCACAACTGTGCTTTATAAACTCCCATGTTGTAGGTTTTTTCCAGCAACAGTTGATGTTTTATACTTAAATAGCGTCTAAATATGATCCAGCACACGAAACTGTCGCCAGCTACTAACTCTACTCCTGCCTGACGTCCAAGGTATTAAAAAGGCACTTTACAAAACGAAAGGTCATGTGCTAAAGTGGTAGTGTAAGCTATGCGGCAATAATCAATTGTGCCTCAATGAATCAAATTTAAATTTGACCGTTTGGGTGTTCACCAGTCAACTTCATAGACATGGTCAACGAGAACTCTTCTCAGGTAATGTCAATGACAGTTTAACACAAAAAAGTTTGTTTCTAATGGGTTTCTTTCGAAACGAAGACAAACCTGCTGAACAATGTTCGCGCATTGTGAGCATATCCTGGGCGCTTGGCGATTTCACTTTCCGTTAACATACTTTACCTTTAAAAACACTTGCTGGGTTTCCAGCAACCAATACTTAGACAACAACGAGAAGATTGAATGCAACGAAGGCCTAAACTTTAATTGGGCCTATGAGGTTGGTAGTTTGCATTGTGGCAGTTTGCTTGTATTTAGCACCTGTGGCGAGTATGTCAGGAAAAATTGTATGTAGATAAGGGCCAGCAGTAATGAGGAGTAAGTAGAACAACCGTTAGAATAAATAGTTACTTCAAGTGTAATAAATTCGACTCATCCTTGAAATGGTAAAATGTAGGCTCAGATCCAGACACCCCTAGAATGAAAAAACGGAAGGGTCGAACGGACAGGACATTAAATGTTAATTCTTAAGATATTCAGGAAGGGTTGTTGTGTAAGCTCAAGTGTTTCCAAGGCGTTAGTTTGAGACTTGTACTAGGAAAGTGTGGTACAGGAATGCGAAAACAATGCAATACAGTAAGAGCTAGTGTTAAATTCGTAAGGGGTTCAGAAGGAACCGATTCGGGTCGTCAGGTGACAGAAATAACCAGGGTTTGCAAGGTGGGCTTAAGGAGAAAAGGTAGTAACTTGGTTCTAGGCATCAAAAATATTAAGATAGTGGTGAGCAATGACCAAATAAGTGAACATTTGTCACAAAATAGGGCTCACTTCACTGCTTTTACTTACTAATGCCAACAATGGCTAAGACACATTCTGCGAACTACAAAGTTTGCTTTGGTCAGAAGTGCACGGAGAAATTTGTTCCTTTAAGATGCTGTCATATTTTTTTAATTTGTCTTTAAGCGCGATAAGCCACCCACTTTCAGACTGTATACTGGCAGCATCGTGAGTGCATGTTAGGCGGAGAATAAATATCTGTTTTGTAAAAGATCAGGGACTAACCACATCCTCTAGGAGTACGCATACTCAAATATTTATTTACGTGAATAGAAATGGGAACCAAAAACTACGATTACACAAGCTTTTAATACATTTTCTAGATATATCGTTTGATTGGTGTTTAGTTCAGTAAATTAACATGGATGCCTAGAATTGTAAAAAATTAGGACGAGCTATTTTTATGAGAAGGTAAATTGCCATATTTTTAATCATCAGAACAAAAACATTCTTCGTCTTTGGCCACCAAGGTTAGGGCTCGAACTTAATCGGACAAATAACTACTGGTTGTAAAATATTACTCCTCTTCAGTTTGTAGATGTCTCAGATGATAAAAAAACGGAATACGCGTCAATGAACCAATTAAATTTTAACAGATTCTGATAGAACATCGTATGCACAATAAAACATTTCATGTAGGTAGTACACACAAGGCGCAAATTCTTCGTCCACCAATTACTGACTAGACGAAAGCTAGCCAATCATGAGGCAGAATTCCAGAGCACTTGCACGAGCCACATCGATCCCATGATTTGCGTAGCTTAATATGTCATTTAGGCAGCGTTATATTGTTACCAATATTCTATACAAATGTATTATGAATGATGCAGAGTGCACACCTAACGACCTCACAACCGCCCATATCCGGTAGAAGTTACGAAAAATGCGCTGAAGATTTGTATCCATCGTTGGCTGTATTTAGTTCAGGCTATCACCAAGTCCATGTCTATTTGTCTCTGATACTTTGCGTTTTCGGGATCGGCCTCAACTGCCTTAATGTGGTTGTTTTATGTCAGAAGCATATGAGAAACTCGAACAATCTCCTCCTTTCAAGTCTGGCCATTTCTGATGGACTAGTAATGTTCATTTACATAATCTACGATCTCGGTTTTCGATTAGTAGCACGATTGGAAAATGGCATGACAAAGGATTACGCATACCTCCTCTTAGTGTGCATTGTGGGACAAAATTTGTTTCATACGTTTTCCACCTGGATAATTGTGGTCCTTGCAGCTTACAGGCTTCTCTACGTTCATGCAGGTCCTCAGGCAAGAGTTGTCTGTGCTCCTTTGCGTGTGTGGTTTGCTATTGCAATGATTGCACTCACTTCCATTGTTCTTACCGTTCCTCTCGTCTTTGCTCATGAAGTAACTCAATACCGTAAACCAAATTCCAACATATCAGGTCTTTTTGAAGTGGATTATGTTGATAACAGTGTGCTCCAGACTATTTTATTCCTCAATTCGGCTCTCTTGGTTAAGGCCATCCCAATACTTTTGATATGGGTGTTGAGCACGATTTTAATAAATAAAATACGCGAAACACAGCTAACGAGAAGACGACTTTTGCCACCAGAAACCATACGGTCTTCGTTCACATTCCCCTCACCCTCGACGGGCTGCTCAGCGGATGTAGAGCGATTACGAAAACTCCACTGGTTTTTCTTCAAATCATGCGGTGGTTTCGACGCCTGCAGACAATCTGCTCAACCCACCAAGATGCTGCTAGCAGTTGCTTTAATGTACATAATCACGTACTTGCCACAGGTATGTCAAGGCGTCAAGTTCACATACTGAGATACTTGATTTGTTTCATACACTTTTATGCTTATTCAACGTTGAAAGCGGATTATTGCATAAAAACAGCAACAAAACTAGTTCAAACTAGTCATCATCACATGCAGAGTAAGATATAAAAATCTTGCCAATTGAAACAGTTGGACGCATGGTGCATAATTTTTGTGAATTTGGTTTCCGAGCATAAGGTGGATTCCTTCGTTTATCTTTCAGGCATGTTTAATCTATTTGATCACGAAAACTCCATTGTACATTAAAAGCAACAATTTCGCTTATGGCTGTCAAATTAGTTTATTGGGTCCTTGAGCACTAAGCGAATGAGAATCAAAAGTGGTTTGGGGAGTGGGCTTTGATAAAACGATTTTCGATCTATTCTTAGCTCCTGATAAAGACATAAATGTAGGTTAATTCATCTTCAAATCCTAGTTCATTTCGAATTCCCATCTGTTTACTCATAGACCTTTAAATACAGATAATTTCTAGGAATTAAGTACTATATTATAGTGGATTGAAGTGGCAGCATATCTGTCTTACGATGACTCCAATTTCGTTGAAATTTCAAAGCTGGCATGATAAATCAAATCTTGTCATTCATTCAAACAAAAATTGCAATCTTGCAGAATGTTGTTTTTAATTTTACTGTAGCAGCCAGAATAAATTGCTTTTCGGATCCTAACTTAAGCCTCCGTGTAAAATAAATCACGCCATTATCATATTTATACAGCTTAATGACGGCACAATTTGGACTAGCACAAATTGCAGCTGAGGAGCACTGATTCTTCCACCAAACTTCAAATTATATCATTGAATTCTGCGTTTTTTTAAAGTCACTCTCATTTACAGCGCCTAACAAACATAGTACACACCAATACCATTGCAGAGATACCAATTAACTAATTCTACCCTGAGTAGTTTTGAGAGGCATAGCAACAAGTAAAACTTGGCTAAGTGTTAGATGCACCTGTGCCAGTACACGATTGTCCTCAGTGTCATAACAGCAGCAGGTTTTTTTGTGAATGGCTGCTTTTAAGTCACGTTTTAGAATACGGTAAATGAACAGAAGGAATTATGATTATCAAAAGTTGCTGATGGCTCAATGTTTTTTAAACGAGGCATTATAATATTTGGGTAATTTTTGACAAAAAATGAATCCACTTGTAAAAATGAATTATTACCTTATTAAACATTAATAAAGAGGTCATAGACATGTAATGTACAAAGAAGAAACTCATTCAAATCTGTCCCTACTCTATCAGCTAGTTTTCCGGAAGAGAGGAAAAGAGGGTGTTAGAGCAGTTCAAAAAGATTATGCTGATGAAACCGATGTTTACGTGTGGGACCATAGTATACTCATCGAATGGTAATCGAAGAAGGATTTTACACAGGGCGCTTGGAGTCCTACGTGTTGAAGTGGTACAACTTAAATTTTGCAGGATAAGGTGACTTGGAAAGATTGTTTTGACATTCAACGTAAGGTCCAATTTCAACATAGGCTTTCATGAATATTACCAGAAGCTTTCGAATTTCAAAACAAAAGTTACAAGGACTGTTGTAGTTACTTTCACCGAATAAATGCAGATACTTGGTTGATTTGCTTGAATTAAGGGAAAAAAGGGAATTAGAAAATTGGTGTTGTGAAAAGGGTACAGAGCATTTAGTTTAAGAATACAGTGATGAATGTTAGGCCACAATATCTTTTTTCGTCATGGTGGTTTCCGATTTTTTTGAAGAAATATTTTAGGTATCCATAAACATATATTAGTGCCGCAAAGCACTTTAAATTCTATGTCTGAATGAAAATTTAGATTTTACTAGGTACCGGTTCCAATATAAAACAAGGCATGAATTTCGGCCATATTGCAAGGAAATGTTCTGGACGGGTAAGTCTTTAAAAGTTCAGTTCAGAAAATGAAAAAAAATGAAAAGCTTAATAAGAGACAAGCGCAGTAACACTATTGATCAATTAAATGCTCACAACCTTTGGAGCTTCAGAATCGTTTTGACTTGCTCTAACATTGGTACTTTACTCATGGAAATAAACTTGATTATTGATCAAACTTGTAGTTTTGGAAAGTCGTTAATTAAATATGGATTTTGTGCAAGAAATGGTGCATTTTGCATGGTTTACGTTTACAGTTATTTTTTTGTCTTCCGATATTAGACGTTAATTCTAAATCAAAACCAAAAGGATTATTTAATTTATGCTCTTGCATATTAGTCGCATCAGCTACTTTTACACAGAGATCATACATGATTGGTTCTAATGTAGCAAGGGAGCTTTATAATGTATAGTGTATAAACAAACTAGTAGTCTAACTGTTATTAGCATTGGTTCTGAAAAAAATATTTATTGGCAAAATTAAAGAGGGTTGCACAAATAAATGAGTAAATATTGAACACACTTGACACTTACTTAATTTTTTTAAATTGGGTGAAATTTGTCAATCAATTAATGGCCTACAAATCTATGATTACAGATCACAGATTTAAAAAGCACCTCAAGGGTGGAGTCAAAGAAAAATGATCACTTATAAATTCGTCCTAGTTACAATTACAATTGCGCCCAGAACTGAAAGCGCTACTAGGTAAGCAGGTGGTAAGTCCTAACAATATAAAACCTCGGGGTTTGGAGTATCGTTTGTGTGATCTAAATACTAAACGGAACGGCGATTGGCAAGTGCAACACTGACTTTAATACTGCTTCATTTATTAGACTTGCTTTGTTGTCTCTGCGAGATATTTTAATTTTTTTGTAAGTATTTCTCGGAATTAAAAAAAAATATTGACAAATTGCAACTTTAAAAATAAGAAAATTGAGGCTTCCACACACGGTATTAATTCCGATGTAACTTTCATCATTGTGGGAATAAGAAGATACTAGAAAAGTAATAAGTTTTATCGTAAAATTACAATTTGTTACATGCCTAAGAGTTAAATAGTTTGTTGTGCAAACGATTGAAAATAAAACCACTTGTCGTAAGTATCTTGGATTGTTCTCCTCGGCATTTCAGCAAAATTTTGCTGCACCTGAAATTCAGAAATGCAAATGTTTGACCAAAATCTCCTTAACAGAATAAGTGACATTGAATGACTTGTTTTGGTAAAAAGCTGTCGAAAGTTTTTAATTTATTAGAGAATCCGGGTCATTAAACCGCCTTCGTATTATGTCGAAAGTCACCTTCTCTGAATTTAATAAGTAGTTATCCCACAGTAAATGGCGGTTTATCTGAAATGGGAATCTGAGATACTCAACCACTTTGTAATCATTTTATGTAAATATAGGTCTGAGCATTAAAGTGTCATCGCCAAAATTTTTCTAACACTTTCCTTTTTCTATGCTTATTTTAGGCAAAAGAAAAAAATTACTGTGAGCTAGTTGCACATGGTGCTCGACTGTTTTGCTGTGACTAAGACGCTATGCTGACGAAATTTCTTATGCCCACTAGAATTTAAGCATAAAATCGCAAATAAATTCATCAGTTCTTTTGTTAAAGCCACATATTTATGAATTTAATGACACTAAATTAAACTGGTGAAATTATCAACCACTAGAGTCTCGCTAGGACTATTTGCCATAATCAATTTGAGATTGTGAGTAAATATAATTGAAAAATGCTTCCTGCTAAGTTAAGCAGCTTCATGCCGCTATGAAGCAATCGGAGTGACTCGTAAGTATGGACAGTGAAAAATGAAGCAAACGGATAAATTTATTAAGCGATTAAATTTTGAGTCCGAATACCTATAAACGAAGTAAAAGTCATTGAACTGACACCCACTATACAGCAAACAACAGAGCAACTGTATCTTCCACATAATGGAGTGACTTTCAAGTAAATCACAAAGAAAAATTTTGGAAATGCACTAGTTTATTAAACTTAACGCTCTAGTTTTTTTCTTGAAAATGAATGTATTGTAATATTAATGTTGTACAATAGAATAAATAATTCATTATGTACATATGTTAAAATTTAATAAACGCATTCGGAATATGAAAAGTGTTACAATAAATAAGGAGATAAAAAATTCAAGTGAGCCAAAGTTCGCGTATGTCATTTGTGCATCATAAAATAGTTGCAATTTTTTTACTATGCACCCAGGACACTATTTCGGTCAGTACAGTTTAGCATTTACTAATAGCTGTCACAAGACTAAGAACATTCATGCATAAAGTATAATGCCCCAAGATATTGGTCTTAGTTTTTACGTAAATTCTAAGTGCTCTTGTCAAATTCTTAAGTAACTATGGAAATGATGGTAAAATTGTGACTGATAGCATTCTAATGTTGATTAATGTGAAGAGGCAGACACTTCCATGTAACGTGCTAGAACACACGAATTTTAAATCAGCAACACTCTTGATAAAACGGCGTTTTTTTGTTTTTACAAAATATCGAAACAGTAAGGCTACAGTTGCGCTATTTTGCATACCTCAAAGAAATGTATGGTGGTAAGCGAGGACCAAGTGATCGTACTGCTAACACGTAAATAAAATGAATGTAAACATTAAATAAAGATTTTAGAGAGGAAAATTTTGGAGCATTTAAACAGCACTCATGCATTGCTCGTCTGATTGCTATAAATAGATTGATTATCCTGGTTTTCTATAAAAAGACAAACATTCATCAAGTCGCCATAACAACAAAGATGTTGTAGCACACACAAATGAGATTTGTGTATAACGGCATGCCTTTATGCAGTTTTTTTGAATCTAAGTAATCAGAAAACAGCCACTTTAATTGCATTTTATCGAATGGTGTAAGCAAACTTTTCGGAATTACTTTAGCAATGGTCTTTAGGTCTAACAGAATAAGCAAATTGGTCAATTTAATTTCTTAAGAAATGGAACATTCAGAGCTACATTCAAAGTTAAGTTTGGATCAGTGCATTATATTTACGATGATGGAGCAAAATTAGTCGTATCATTTTCATTACTACTGATGGCACCATATCAAACGTTTTGCAGTCTTTTTACATGAATAGTAGTCAATGTTAAATTTACTGATGCAAAATTTTGGATGTAATCATTTAGTTTTTGATTTTATTAGGCACATACTGAGTTTGAATCTTTGGACCGATTCAAATCACTTCAAGTTGAAAATTCCAAACTATGATCCATTTTGAAAAGAAAACTTTACGACGTTAAAATTGAAACTGGGTGGTAAACCATGGGGTAAAGTGCAGTAAGGCTTTAACTCCTTAAGTTGCACAATTGGAAAGTATAAAGCTATACGCACAAAAAAACGGGATAATTTCACTGACACCACCATTAAAGGACAAAATATTATAATATCCCGTTAAAAGCGTTAATAAAAGCTTCTGTGATTAGTTCTATTTTGCAAATTTCTCAGCCATAATCCCTCTTAAATTCTGTAGTCTGCTTTGAATGCATATGTTGCTTTTACGAAACAATGAAGTGATTCTGACGTTTAAGGATTCAACATGTTTTTTTTTAGTGAAGGTAATATTGCACCAACAAATTATGGGAAAGGAACTAAAATTCAACAAAAATGATTGCACAGTATTTAATATGTGGAATGAATAAAAAATATTTTTTCCAAGAGCTTAGTCATGTATCCTTTCATTTTTTCACAGTCAGTGATGCTGATACTCAATCGATACATGGGACGTTGCTTCCAAACACAAGTGTACGAGCGGCTGGGTGATTTGATGGACCTGCTGACGCTTAGCAATAACGGAATAAACTTCATCATCTACTGCGTTATGTCGGCACAGTTCCGTAACACCTTTGTTGCCCTACTCACATCAGGCAGAAGCAAACTACGCCACTTCTAGCTCGCCAGCTGTTTTTGCTGGGAACTCTGAATTTTTATCTATGATAGTAAAAGGACAATACACTGTATTTTGTTATGACTTCCAAATGTTGAAAATAAGTTCTAGGATTATTGAATCTACCAAGTTGTCAAAATAATTAAAAATTTGAAAAAAATGACTGTAAGAACAGGATACATCTTGTTCTGACCATAGAAATTTGACCAAAAAATGCCACTGACGATAGCAATTTTCGCAGCTCAAATAGGGATGGTGCACCAAAGCGCTCATATGCGCTATATCACATGCACATTATTGGTTCAGTAGACAAAAAGCAATATTGCTATTAAAAGATATCAATGCGAAAACCCCCACACCTTGTAAAATCAGTAAAGTTTACCTTTAAGAACTCTGTCATACATCAAAGGACTTTACTTGGAAAAGCAAAGAAGATTGTATGATGCAATCTAAGTTAAAGACGTTTGCCCTTGTGAGATTATACCGTACTTTCGATTCGTATAGAGACCCACTAAATTATTAAATAAAATTTGTTAACGTGTTTTTGGACGAATTAGAAAAAGTGAAATAAATAATATGACTTAGGCTCGCATTCTGATTTGGAAGGTTTGAGAGGAAAGTCAAATCAGATTTTTTGCAAGACGGTATTTATCTTTAGCAGAATATTGTTTTATGGGACTCTGTTAACTTAATACTGATCTTGGCTCTACTTATCTACTTTAGGTGTTGTGCGGTCATTGCTTGAAAGACATTAGTGTTTTTGAGTGGAACAAAAATAAACGTTTAATTTATGACAACGAATTCTAGGTTGGTAAATTTAATTTCATTCAAAAATATTTTCACAGGTCTGCCTCAAAAGAATAAGTTACTTAGGTCAGCCCGCACTCTAATTAGAGGCTTAATGTATAGATGTGAAAAATTATGTTTAAATGAGTAATGTGGTCTTGGTAAATTCCTACAACACCACCTATTTTTTCGTTAATTGACTAAATAGAGTGGGACCCATTTCTGACAATCAGTCATTTTATTAAATTTTAATTACACTGAACAGAAGCGAGCTTCGAAAAAGAGGACTGCCATAAAATTATTTGCTTCCAGCCCTCGAATGAACAGTCCTTTGATTTGTGCATTCCAACTTGTGCGATACAATTATGCTTTCTTTAAATCACCAATAAGAGGAAGATGGTGTGTATATTGTGCGTGAGGTTCCATGAAATTCATGGTTATCTAAAACATTTACATAGACAGCCCATTCATTGCAAAAAGAACAAAATTCAGACTCAAATATTCAAAATTTAATACCAAATGCATTTCCTTTCTTCGTTAGCGATCCAAAAAAGAAGAAAGATTATGATTATAGAGTGTCAGGTGACGGCCAAAGTATTTATCTATTTTTCCGCATACATTGCTTTTTAACTTAAATCTCTATAAATCTTGATAACTCACAATACTTCATTTATTTTATTAATAACATTCAAAATAGCTCACTAAAATAATAGGCCGAAGTAGCACAAGAATACTTCAAAGACACCGATATATTTGGTGGAAGATGCAAAATACTAATAAAATAAATGTCCTATGGCAAATTCAGTGAAAAGTAATAATGATCATAAAAAATTAGGAAGCCAAAAATTGCAAACACAATTGCATGCATAGATTACAAGGCAGAACGTTCCTACTTTCTGGGTACTCTCGTGTACAAGATGACCTCACAAATATAATGGCAAAACAGAATGGATCTGATTAATTTTTGAGTAAAACTGCATGTGCCATGGCTATCTTAGCAAAAAATCTAGCGCATTTGTGACAGGTTAGATTTAGGTTAACTGGAAGACAAGCTTACGGGCACATGAAACCAAACTTTCACACGAGATTTCGCTTAAAATCTTAAAGATTTCTTTCGGTTAATATTGACACTAATTCAACAATAAGTATAGGAGAATTGTCCATCACACAATAACTTTAAATTACGGTCAGTCAAGAGCTAATTAATGCTTCAGGCGCAAAACTAAGTTTGCCGAATGGGTTAGATGAAAATAATTCAAAACCAGATAAGTTTTTTTTTCATTTGATTTTTTACTGACATTTAAAATTGTCGTATTTGTAGATATAATTCGGTAATTCATCCATAACAATAATAAAAATGGTTGACATTAAAAGAGCATATTAAGTGAAACTTAGGGTAAACGCTTTTAAATCACGCTTGAAAAGCGAAGGCTTCCTTGGTGGTATTAATGGGTAACTAGGACATCGTAACTGACAGAAACCTATTTACGCCAGATTCGGCTGGCTGATAGCCAAAACAGCTTAATTATAACTTTCCACTAGAACCGCAAAGTATCGGCTTAAAAAACAAAATGCTGATAATACATGAAAGGTTTTATTCATGCCTTTATAGTTAATCTTGGTGATTCACGTCCATCAACTTGGTCGTCGCATTCCCCACCACACTGACCCTTTCGCAGCGTCCCTAGCATTCACGATGAACTGCCTGCTCACACACCCCTGTCCGTGTACCGCCGCCCCCCCTCCCCACGACCCTGCCCTCTTCACCCCTCCGACCATTCAGGCATTTGTGCGTTTACAGGTTTAACCAGACTGTTTTGATCAGCACGCCCATTATTCTGTCAGGACTTTATGCTCAGTGGCGCGAAATTCACATGTATGTTGAGCCGTGTAGTAGACGGTTGCATCTCTGGCGTTCTTCTGATTTTCTCGGGTATCCGTCGAGCATAAACTGGCCCCCTCAACACAGCTATCCTGGGGTGGTTTGAGACTACACACCGGGACCCTCAGTACTTGCATGAGTTATCTTTATAAATTAGGTGGGTGCTTGGAGCAAGCCATTTTAAGAGGGACTTTCAGATGGTATTAACTTTTTTATGCCACATCGAAAATCCATTACCATTACCATTTCTGCATAAATCTTATTTTACATTAACTGTTGTTAGGTTCTCACATTTTGCTGCAATTATGCGTTTGTTCGCGATGGATACCAAGCACTCGGTAAAAAGAGAAAGTAATCTGACTCTCACATCAAATATGCTAAATGGTAGAAATACTGAACTCACGCAATCGTTGCAAATCTTCCATGCGCGTTGCACTATATCCAGACAGTAATCGCACCCAATCATGCTGTTTGAAAGTAGTAAATGCGAATTAGGGCACGTATTTTCTTAGTTGCAACGTAGATACTTCGATTGCAGGAAAATCAGTAGACCAAAAACTAACTCGCAAGAGCAGCAACGAGTTTCCAAAAGGAAGTAGTTTTTCTTAGGAGAATGTTCTACGCTTGACTATTAGTAAAGATCTTCAAAAAATTAGCAAGAATTTTGAAGAAATCGACCATATTTACACTAGGCAAGTATTTATGCACTCCTTAAGGACTAGCTACGGCAAGTATAGTTTTTAACCTGGAAATTACTAAACTTATATAATAATGCAAAGATGAACTAAGGCTTTTCATGACCTATTTGTACTAGCTCTAAAAGCTAACCATACTCTAGCAAAAAAACTTATGAAATACAATGCAGATTGTTACTTCCTTTCGTTATGCAACAAAATCATAGCGCATATTTATATAATTTAGACTGCCACCACTCTGTACTTTTAAATGTTCACAATTTCACGAGCACAGTAAAGTACTTAAATTAACTGACTAACCAAATGCACTACAAGAATTGCTCCCACAAAATCATGTAATTACCGGCAAAATAACAGAAATATACACTGAAAAACTTAAACCCCCAAAGATCAGGCTTACACGTCTGCAATAGAAAACACACGCACGTTATGACACGGGGAATGTATAGGAAAACTTAAGTGCCACTAAGACTGAAAACAAACGTTGATGGGTTAGATCAGTACGGCAAACAATCGGTATTAGTAAAGCATGTTTGTATTTGTGAAAGAACCTCTTGTACTTCTGCATTGCCATTTCAGTCAAATATATAGAACTCATGTATACTTGAACATCTGCTTTTGAAAAGAGCAATTTTTTCAATTGGCGATAGGACTGTCGGCTTTGAGTGGTAAATAATAAGTTTGGTAATATTACCTCGATTGGTTGTGTGCATAAAGTAATATGCATCCAAGCTTCGCTATTTACTTAAAACATTTAAAAAACCTATAGTACAATTAAAGTGAACATTGTATCAATGTGAAGTGATGACAAAAACGCCTTTTTTGAATGCTAGCTGTGACGCTTCACGGTTTATAACAATCTTGGTAATAAGTTCAATTTCTTTTCAACAAAGAATAGTTTATAACTTTTCCTCCTGCCAATTTTTAATAAAGAACAAGCGGTCATCGTGTTACTGCCTTCACGCAGTTACTTTTTTTAAAAATTGAGTCGTTTGTTGTTCCCTGTCGGACTAGTTAAAGGTTAGTTAAAATTTACAATTATCCTATCTAACTGATTCCTAAGAAGGGTTTAATAAGGTTACAATAAAAAAGCATTCATTTTAAACAGGTCATTGATATTCGTAGCGAACGAATTCGAGGAATATAACAGTGTGCATTCATTTGGAATCCCTGGGATAAGTGTGGTGGTTAGCTCTATCCTTATAATTCAATTTATTTTGTCTTTGATTAAACTTGGGATCAAGAAATATGTAGAAGGCAAACGTGTATGAAAAATTAAAACCTTTAAGCACTTACTGAAAAAGCACCGTTCTAACAGTTCCATTCCAGTTATACAAGGCTGTCTTTTAGATAATCATGGGCTGCCGAAGCTATTATTAATACATGAAAGAGTGGAAATGTCATAGATGTTGAACTATTAGACGTAAATCAGCGTAAATTACCAATTTGCATGCCCTAATAACAGCAGATTTGCTTCAGTTTACTTACCGTTTGTCAGTACAGCGAATAATACAACAACGTTTTCGATGTCACTCACGAAAGGGACGAACTCTAACCCAAGCCAACTCAATACCAAAGGACATTTCTTAAAATGCTGACACAGCTGGGGGAAAATCTGAAAGACACTTGTTGCGGCGCATGCT